TGGCATCTTTGCCAGGAAATCGGTCCCCAATAAGCAAGGTACAGCGAGGGACCTGGAGATCAACACCGTCCCAGAAGCCGACACATACCCAACAGAAATGTGTGTTTCCACCTGACCCACGATGCCCATACTCCCCCCGTTAGCAGCAACACATGCATCGAAAACCGGACGTACCCGCTACAGCGGAATAGATAGGAGATGGAAAATGACATCCGAGATGATAGTGGCGGACGCGCCCGAATCGACTAAAATCCGCACGTCGACTCCTTGTATAGAGCCCGGCACGGTCGACGACCCTGCGGCTGCCGCAACGACCCTGCGGGCCAGTTTCTGCCACTGCGTCAACATCCGATGCGGATCAATTAGAGACCCCTCGTTAGGACAGGCACCCGGAACGCACTCAGATAACGATGAATGAGGTGACAGGCCTTGCCGGGTGTCTGATGCGTACCGACTTGTCTGACACGGGTCACCATCCGACGTCGATGGCGCGTCCTTGGTCGGGGACTCCGGGCGAAGAGGTGGACGAGTTCGACCTCGGCAGTCGCGCGCGAAGTGTCCGAGACGGCCGCAGCGGTAACATGCCATGTCGGCCTGCCGCCCGGCCCCCACAGCATCCCGGCGATCCGCCGACGAGGGCCCCTCGTGTGGCACCGTTCCCCTCCGTGGAACGCACTGGCCCGCCGCCGCAATGAGATCACCAGGCCCTGCATTGTCCGGGACGAAGACGACCTTCGACTGTGTCCAACCAACGGGTTTCCCATCAACGGCCCGATTGCCCGTCCAGGCGGCCATCTGCGCCCAACGGCGCAAGTTTAACCGGGAGGTTAGCTGCTCGTGGCCGCACACGGGCAGTGGAATGCCCAGGTCCTTGGACAACTCCAACATCTTCCCCAGTATCAAGGGCTCCAACAAGTCGGGCTCGGTCTCGGGGTACGCGGCCATGGCCAGCGCAATCACAGCGTCACGGAAGCCACGGGTGATTCCTCCGGTGCCCGTTGTCTTTGGACAAATCTACGATGAGCGTCGTCCGGTGGCTCGTATGCTTCCACCATCTCGTCGAAAGCCCCCTTTAGCGTCGCCTTCCTTGCAGCCGGGATGGAACGGAAAAACTTTAAAGATGCGTCATCGAGGAGCGTTGGCAGGACCTCCAAGGCCTCCTTATCCGTCCACTTGGCAGAGCGGACAGCTGATTCGAAATGCCAAGCGAATGCGCTCCAATCCCCACCAACGGCAAATTCCTTTATAGTTGTCAGACGGTGGCTGCGAGTCCCGCCGCTGCTGTCACCCGAAGCGGCCGTCCCACGCAGCGGTGACAAAATGGCGGCTTCCTGCCAGTCTGTCGTGACCGCGCCCAAGATGGCGGCGTCTTGCCGCGTGTCAGGGAAAACGGGAAGCCTCGCAGAGGCTGCAATGGCGGACGGCCCGGGCCCACCCGAAGCTTCCCCCCTCAGAGGCCCGACGCGTGGTTGTCCCGGCGCCGGCCCCGGTGCAACCAGGGTGACCAAGGCCAGCAAAACGGTCCGCAGCAAATCAATCTGCTCTGCCACGAGCTGCCAGCCGTCCTCGGCGCCCGAAGATGTAGACGGGCCAGCTCCCGCGACGACATCTTGCACTCCCGCAGTGTCGCTTGCCGCCGTCCCGTCCGCGCCCTCCATGTCCGGGACCGCCACCGCTGGAGGAAGGTCCCCGTCGTCATCCGAAGAAGGCTGTTGGTTGATTTTTCTTTTTGAGATGTTTTGACATCTCGAACCACTTCTGACACCAGTGTCTCCGTCACTCTTTATTCGGGTTAACACCCGCACCCCGCTGGTCCCGACACCGGACCAGCTGCTCCTCGCGACGCACCCCGCACGCGCTCCTCCGTCAGTCTCTCGCGCTTCCCTCGCTCCGCACACCGCTGGCCAATGGTGTGCTGAAGCTCCTGCAGCCACGTGGCTGATGGCGCGGATTCCCTCCGGCCATCCAACGTGGTCCTGCTTCTTCACTCCACCAACTGACCCGGAGCCCTTCCAGGCTCCCACCTATATCCCCTTCACCACGTGACCCTTTCTCCTCCCTCACACCAAGCCCTTCCGAACCTTCTAGATATGGCCTCCCCATCGCGCCCTGCTGGCTCCGCCCCTAGGTTCCGCCGCCGCTCACCTCGTTTCCAATTGGACCCGAGGTGAGCGGGGACCTTCACATACGCCCCCATACTGGCTCCGCCCCCCAATATCCCGGCCCGTATGATTGGCCCAAAGGCCAGCAGCGAACCCTGTTTACGCTCGCATTACATATGTATATATGTTGACCTTTTTTCGCATGGCACGTAGCCAACCACGCTAAACAGAGGTGCGGGGGAAGGACAACTCATGAAGGAGACGTGGTGCAGCATCGGCCTGCTGATGATATCCTGACATGGTTGATGGTTCCACCTCCGGTGTCTTCAAGGAGCAGGAATGTCAAAGATCTCGAGTGGAGTCGGTGTTAATTTCTCGAGATCCGTGTCGTAACCGTGCATCAACGGGCCACGTTCGCAATCGATCCCGCCCCGCATGCATCAATAGACATCACTATTTAACCCCCAATGGTGCAAATGTAAGCCACAGTGAGGCGAGGATGGAGTGAGAGCCTACGGTGGTGTGAGTGAGAGGGGGGCTCGGCATCGTCGGGAGCTTTGGTTTAGTTTGTAGCCGGCGGCTGTGGGGCGTCGTCCATGCAAAACTGCGTCTCTTGAAATCACCGAGGACCCGCAGACACGAACTGGGAGGCAGCAGCAGCAGCAGTTGCCAGGCAGTGAAGGAGCCGGCGGCTACCAGCAATTGCCCAAGCTTTGTGCTCCTCTCCATATACTGATGTTTTCGGCCAATGAGAGAAAACCGGAGCACCAGGAGAAAGCCCACACGCACAAGGGGGGTAACACTCCACCCCATCGCAGATTGAACCGATGGGAGGATCAGTCCACACGTTTTGCTGTGCCACCTTCTCCTGGTGAGCCAGGGATGTGCCTGGCTTATTCAACGCCGGCGGAAAGGGAGTTTCGCAACATCTGCGCGTGATCCACCAACTCTGGCTGCTGGTGCTGCTAGGGTTAAAGGCCACGTGTGCCAATACATTTCCCATGTGGCAGGGGCTGGTGGCGGTGAGGTTCTATTGTGTGAAGTCCTAGTTGGAATTACCGACGAAACGTCCTACTCCAATTACCCACTATAATAATCACCCAGAAATGTCTGTCCGTCCCGCGCGTGATGTCACTCCACATGAGGCTCAACCCCCCACATGACGTCACTCCAGATGAAGCCCACCCCCCTTATTAATATTCATGAGTGGGTGTATTTTTACACTAATGCAGAGGAAGGTCGAGCTGAATTAAATAATTTATCATGCAAAGTCGCTTCAAATATGACGATGTTTCATTGCATCTACGCAGCACAGTGCTACATGCGTGCGTGACGTCACTGCAAACAAAAGAGCACCCCCCCCCCCTTTCATTAATATTCATGCCCGCGTGGAAATTTACACTAACGCACAAGAAGGCCGCGCACTCCACATTCCGCACCCCTCCACAATAACCATGAGGGGGTGACGTCACTCAACATGCCGCACCCCTCGACAATAACCATGAGGGATTCAACCACGTCAGGAGATCATCAGCAGGCCGATGCTGCACCACGTCTCCTTCATGAGTTGCTTTTTATGGGATTTTTGCACACGGCATTGATATACGGTGCTTTTTCTCGAAGACTTTGCTGTTTTTTCCTGGATTTTTCTGGTTGCGCTTAGTCACTTGAAGAGGTTTCTTGTTCATGTTTTTGTTTGTTGCGGTTGCACCCGAGTCAAGAGCCGAATGGCTCACAGGGCTTTACCTAATAAATTAAACTGAAACTGAACTGAGGGGGTTACGTCACTCCACATGCCGCACCCCTCCCCAATAACCATTAGTGGGTGACGTCACTCCACATGAGGCAACAACCCCCTCATTAATAATCATGAGCTCAACAATTTTTCTAACAAATATTTCACATTTACTGCAATATCCACCCATCCTTGGACGGGCAAACAAGCTCGTTGTAAATGCTGTGGGTTTTACTCTCCAACACAGCGGTGCGCTCTACTGGTGTAGCGTGTGTTAACTTCGGCGCACACTTGGACTTGTAGGCAACGCGTGTATTTAACACAACGGGTAACTCTAACAGGATAACGGCACAGGGTGGTAACCACCACTGCTAACTAATCTGACACTCGGAGAGACAATTCTCGAGTCGGACCAGGGCAGCTAACTGGCTGCCTGGTCCACGCGTGAAGACCGGAGGCCGAGGATGGAGGATGGCGACTTCACTGCCAGAGTTGAACGCCGCGAACCCTCTCGGGACCCGCTTATAACTGCCCTGGCCACGCCCCCCTTCCAGAACCCTCGTGGGGACTCTGGGTCACGTGGTCCTCTCACCCCCGAATGGGGGCCCCCCTGCCCGGTCACGTGCCCTCCCGGGCCCACCTGGGAGGGCACGTGACCTCCCTTATAGTACCACCCCTCACACGAGTGACAAATGTGACGTCACATCAAAATGCGCAACTTTAAATATAGATAACACTTTCTACTTAATTAAACTTTTTGATGTTTTCTTGTACATTAGAGTGCAGCGCCACATTAAATACGCACTACAATGACAATAGTTTAAAGCGATTTGAAGCATGTTTTATTTGGGGGGGGGGGGGGGAGCAGAGCTTTGTGACGTCATATTTGAGGGGGGGGGGGTCTGACTTTTTGTAACGCCGTGTGACGAGGGGGGGTCAAAAATCGCGTGACGTCATTTATGGACGGCCCCTAAAACTCTGTCCGGCCACGTGGCTCGGCGTTAGGAGCGAACGGCTCACGCGAGCAACGTTCCGAGTTCATATTCCTGTTCGGTGGGGCTGGCTCGGCCCATCATCCCTCCGGGGTCGATAAAGCGAGCGCCACTAATCATCAGTAGGCATAGAATATTGAGGCTGCGGTTCCAAGCCACGTGTTTGCTGTGCACAGGGGAAGGGAACAACAGGTGTTCTATTGTAAGACTCGCGCCCGCCACAGGAACGTGGAGTTTCGTATACCGCATCTGGATTTATTGCGACGATTCAATCCGTGGTGGAACAAATTGTCGATTTCCAAATGTCAATTTGATACGGAAGCCGATGCGGTGGCAATGCCACGAGTCGGTGCAACTTTGACGCGCTCCCTAAGCCCGTCCCTTGTGGGCTGAGACGGCGAACATCGCCGCGGTCCCCGATTGTGGAATCTGCAACGAGCCGCGGAGAGAGACAAGTCCAGTGGCGAGCGCGAGAGGGACACGGGGAGAGAGACACGGGGAGAGATCGTGAGATAGTGAGTGAGTGAGATAGTGAGTGAGTGTGAGATAGTGAGTGAGTGTGAGATAGTGAGTGAGTGTGAGATAGTGAGTGAGTGTGAGATAGTGAGTGAGTGTGAATGAGTGAGCGTGAGTGATAGTGAGTGAGTGTGAATTAGTGAGCGTGAATGATAGTGAGTGAGTGTGAGTGAGATAGTGAGTGTGAATGAGTGAGTGTGAGTGAGATAGTGAGTGAGTGTGAATTAGTGAGTGATAGTGAGAGTGCTTGGGAGCGCCTTCGTCCTGCTGCCGATGTCCGTGGTGCCGTGAGGCGACGCGGAAGCTTCCTCCAACCCCGTGCTGAGAGCAGCGGACAGACGGCTCCACGGAGTGGTGGTGGTGAGGCAGTGGTGAGGTGAGGAGCCTCACATGGAGTGGTGGTGAGGTGGTGGTGAGGTGGTGAGGTTGTGGTGGTGGTGAGGTGGTAGTGGTGAGGTGGTGGTGGTGAGATGGTGGTGAGGTGAGGAGCCTCACACGCAGTGGTGGTGAGGTTGTGGTGGTGGTGAGGTGGTGGTGGTGAGGTGGTGGTGAAGTGGTGGTGGTGAGGTGGTAGTGGTGAGGTGGTGGTGGTGAGGTGGTGGTGAGGTGGTGGTGGTGAGGTGGGGGTGGTGAGGTTGTGGTGGTGGTGAGGTGGTGGTGGTGAGGTGGTGGTGGTGAGGTGGTGGTGAGGTGGTGGTGGTGAGGTGGTGAGGTTGTGGTGGTGGTGAGGTGGTGGTGGTGAGGTGGTGGTGAAGTGGTGGTGGTGAGGTGGTGGTGGTGAGGTGGTGGTGGTGAGGTGGTGGTGGTGAGGTGGTGGTGGTGAGGTGGTGGTGGTGAGGTTGTGGTGGTGGTGAGGTGGTGGTGGTGAGGTGGTGGTGGTGAGGTGGTGGTGGTGAGGTGGTGAGGTGGTGGTGGTGAGGTGTGGTGGTGGTGGTGAGGTGATGGTGGTGAGGTGTGGTGGTGGTGAGGTTGTGGTGGTGGTGGTGAGGTGATGGTGGTGAGGTTGTGGTGGTGGTGGTGAGGTGGTGGTGGTGAGGTTGTGGTGGTGGTGGTGAGGTGATGGTGGTGAGGTGGTGGTGGTGAGGTGGTGGTGGTGAGGTGGTGGTGGTGGTGAGGTGATGGTGGTGAGGTGGTGGTGGTGAGGTGGTGGTGGTGGTGAGGTGATGGTGGTGAGGTGGTGGTGGTGAGGTGGTGGAGGTGGCGGTGGTGAGGTGAGGACCCTCACAACAACAAAGGGAGATATTCAGGCTAGACTTGAACAGGTTTCAGGCACTTCTATAAACTATATTTATTTGCCAGGTAAGGGCCCGCTGAGTTAGGTCGCTGTTTTTCACAAGCGACTTGGCTTGTCACAAACCACAGCTCAAAGCAAGTGGCTTGTCGCGTGGGAACTTCAGTCGGCAGTCAAATACTCTAAACGCGTGATTCTTACTGTGGAGGGAAACACACGGGGGGAGAGAGACACGCAAACTCCAAATAATCAGCAGGCGGTAGGCCGCCTTGGGATCAAACCCACACACTTCTGAGACAATTAACATCTCGCCACCGTGGCCCCGACTTAAGCAGCACGGATGGCTGCGTGGGGTGTGAGTTGCAGAGCTTTGGAGCAGCAAAGATTGACTGGTGGTGGGTGAGGAGGGCTTCATTCGCCAAACCGGAGGGTTGAGTCGGCGATGAGTCCACGGTAGGATTCTCCACGACGGTGCATCCTTGAAACCGATTCGGGGATGGGAGATGGGATTGTCAGCCAACGGCGCCGTCTCGTTTCGCAGGCGTAGAAAATTGGTGGTCGGCATTGAACCTGGAGGCGATGTTTGCCCCGAGGGAGGAGACGTATTGAGATGAGCAGGGGGGGGGGGGGCTGAGGATGGAGCCTCAGGGCACACCCATCAACTTGGGAGTCTCCTGTATGGACACGGAGGCAGCGGTGTCCGAGGTGAGAGGGGGGAGAGAAGGGTGGTGGTGGGGACATCGAGGTGCATGGCTATGGAGAAGTGAGAGGAGGATGGACGGGGATGGCCTTTGGTGTTAGAAGCGGCACAAAGATCTGCTGATGGCACTTGCCTGCAACAACCTATGAGGCCAATATGGGGCATCTGCGTCAGTGACTCGTGTTTGTAATACAAGTGTGTATCCAATCCATTTATGCGGATATACAGGTGTCTGTGTTTGTACTGTACAGTAGCCAATCGTGATAATTGGAGTTACGTGGGAAAGACGGCAAACATCTTCCAACATGTTTAGCCCCACCCAGGGTGTTGGGTCAGAAGAAGATGAGACTACGTGAGAGACGTCATGGAAATACGACGTGCTGAAAAGAAGCCGTGCAGCTGTGTGAATCTCTAAAGTAAGCAGGACCCTTGGTGCATTTTGGAAACTTCGGTTCGCCACCTAATGCGAATCGCCGTGTCTCTACGTGTGGTCTAATAATGTGAGCAAATTCCTGGGCATGTAAAGAAAGCACTTGACCCAAAATGTTTGTCGAATAACACCTTCTGTTCGTTTGTAGACGCACACAGGTCACACTTGCTTTGACAATTTCAATGGAAACACGAAAAGTAGGTCCGATAATGACATTGAGGTTGTGTGGGAAAGAGTGAATTGAGTTTACATTTTTACCGACAGTAGCCAGGTAACTTGGCCAATCCTGCCGATCATTGTCCAAGTTTTTACTCTCCTTCTCATTGGTACTTAATGATGCCTCGCCTTCCACAAATGAACCACAATACCTTGCTGATCTCGTCTGCTGCCCACAACAGTGCAACAATGTAAGACAAACCTTCGAGCCCGATGGAAACCTCTTTTCCCATGGTCTTCACCCATCCAAGTACGATCCAGACTCAACCCCGCTGAGTTTGTGAGATCTAATGAGATTAATCATAATAGAGGTTTTTTTGGGTTCGGTCGCGTGAATATAAATGTGTCATTAAACCCGCTACCACAACCAATTAGTAAGGCTTGTCACGTTAACAAAACATGGCAATTCGCCATTCATGCCATTTATATTTACGCGATCTAACCGGGAAAACTCTATTATGGTTAATATTGGTTGGTGCATTCCGCCTCATTTGACCAGGAGCTGATTTGATATTGTGCGGAAGATGTAAGTTTCCAAATGCCCTTTCGGTGCCGGTGCATTGCAGAGGTTTGCGCAACAGAAGAACTCACGCGAATTACGTCTCTTTTTTACATATCCCGTTGCCACGCATTTCATTGCATGTAAATTATATCAGATGAACCTCTGCGAGGCACACGCGTTACGTCGGTGGCAGTGAGCGCTTATCGTGGCCGAGTGCACTGCCCCTCGCTTGTCCGCCTTGTTTCGTCACTCTCTCTCTCCGTGTTCTCTGTGCGCGCACTCATTAGCTGCGGGCTGCCGTGCGATCTTCGGGCATCGCTGCAGTGCTCCCATGGCCGACACGGCGAAGTGTGCCGTGCTCAACGTGCTGAAGGTGGGACAGCGCAGCGCACCCTCCACGCGGTTGTCGTGGCCCCAGGGTTTGCGGGGTGACATTGATGATGATGAAGATGATGACGTGATACAATGCCGATAAATAAACCTGAGTCTGAAAAAAGAAGAATAGGTTTTACCCCTTCTGGCAGTATGATGTTCAAACACCAAATAGAAACCTTTTGCAAGGAATCATGTCAACAAACCTGAGTGTGTATGTTGTGTGTTGAGCTTTTTTTGCGCCGTACGCAGCTATCCACGATAATTGGAGGTGCGGAACCAATATTCATAATAAAGGTTTTTGGGTGAGATCGCGTAAATATAAATGTGTCGTTAAGCCCGCCACCACCCGACACAGCCAGTGAGGTTTGTCACGTAAACAAAACGTGCCAATTAATGATTGGCTAACAGCGGTGACGTCACCTTTCTCTATTTAAGACCGGAAGCAGGTGGATTGCTTCACTATTCTGGCAAATTGCCCGATGATGCTGGTTGATGTAATTACCAGCAAAACGTCTTACTACTCAAATTGTAAATACTGTGGACTTACTCTCCAATACACCGGTGGGCTGAAGCAGTAACTAATTGTCACGTTGTGTTTACATGACAAACCTCAGTGGCTGTGTCGGGTGGTGGAGGGTTACGACACATTTATACTTCCGCGATCCAACCCAAAAACCTTCGTTATGAATGTCTAGTGATGATGCGATTGAGATGCCCCACACCACAGCTTACCTGCTCTGGTTGAGATGCCGCACCTGATATATTCACCCGACGAGGGCAACGATGCAAACGTGATGGTCGCACCCTCACGTCCTGCGGTGTGGCGTCGCGTGAGCAGGGCGTACGGGACTCCATCTGGGGCATGAGCGCTGTCCTGCGTCTGGACAAGCGCGTGGAGCGGGAGCGCGAGAAGCAACGCGAGAGGAGACGCAAGGGCCCCGACTGGAAGGAAGAGTGAGCGATCCCACACGCGCCACGCTGAACTAAAACTTTTTATTCTAGCAGGGAAGGCCCACTGAGCTATGTAGCTCTTTTTCAGAAGCGACCCGGCTACAAATGATAGCTCAACTAAGTGGCTTATCGTGTGGAAATGTATAGCAGCCAAGTGCTCTAAACGTATGTTGATTGAAGGGAAAATCCGGAGGACCCGGAGAATAATCCACGTTAATTCTAGATTTCATGAACTGTTGCGCAGAACAAAAAATGTAGCGCGGAACGCCAAGGACCCAATTCTTGTGTGGCTGAATGTTCCTTTTCATATAGTGGTTGGAAAACATCACCATCGTCCACTTAACCAACCAAATTGGTGTTTTTTCAGCAAGCTATTGGTTAGGCCCTAAATGTTTATGTAGGTGCAGCGTCGCCTTCATACTAACACGCCCCTAATAACGTCCTTACTCTTTCTTTTTAGTGAGCCAAAGATCGTGATACGTATTCTGCAGTGCTGCGCATGGAACGGAGGCATCTTCTGGGTGAGTGCGTTGATTTAACTCGCGTGGGGGGAAATCTCGTTTGAGTGCTTTAAAAATATTTATTTTTTGCCTTTTCCTCCCCAATCTTCTCCCAATTGTGCACCATGGGCCACAGAATCCGTTCGCGACCGAGCGGTGCAACTGCTTCATGTTGGAGAAGGGCCCGCTGAAGCGGATATCATAGAGCTACCTTTGGGGTCCCTTCAAGTGATTCTTGGTCCACACAGCAGGGGGCAGCGCTTGACCGTCCGCCCGACAGACGTATTATTTCTTGTCTGATATAATTTTCACGCAGTGAAACGCTTGGCATCAGGATGAAAAAAACTGACGTAATCGCATGAAGGAGTTCTTTTGCGTCAACCTCCGCAATGCATGGGCACCTTAAGGGCGTTTTGGAAACTTACATTTGCCGCATAATATAAAATCAGCTCCTGACCAAATCAGGTGAAATGCACCCAATCTCGTTAGATCTCACAAGCTAAGCGAATTTGAGTCTGGATCGTGCTTGGATGGGTGAATTCCATGGACAAAGAGGTTCCCATAGGCCTCGAAGGTTTTGTCTTCTATTGCACTGTTGTGGGCAACAGACGGCAGTTGGGCAAGCAGCCATTGTTTTACTTTACTTCTAAACTCCCACGTCTATGCTGCCCGCATTAGGTACGGTCAACTTTTTTCTTTAGAACTGCTTTTTGTGTTTAGTTTGTTGTCCTTCCCCTGTACCTCCAATTATCACGGTTGGCTACGTACGGTGCAACAGAAGTTCTACATACAGAGTAACGTTCGTCACATCACAGTCAAACAGATCATTCTCAGAGCTGGAATTTCGCCAATTTTTTTTTTAATTGTTGTTGTTGTGCAGTAATCGGTGGCCAGGCTAAGACGATCGACTCACTTCGCTTGAGAACCCAGTTTAATCAGAGGCAGCTACAAAGCCGTGATGTAAACCCAGGATCTCAATGCTCTGACCTCTGATTAGCGCAGTTGACTACGTACGGTGCGAAAGAAGTTCAACGTGTGTACTAATACCGCACAGCCCAGCACGTGGGGAGTGTCACCGCACGTGATGATATCCGTGTGATCCACCAACCCCGCCTCCGGGGTGCAGCCCAGCAAGGCAGCAGATCTCGTCCGAAAAATTGTCCCAGTGGTTTTAGTATTTTTTGTTGTAATTGTTTACCACAATTCAGAGGTCACTGGTTGGATCTCCGGGCACGGCAGTTGGGGGCCGTCCATAAATGACGTCACGCACCTGGGGGGGGGGGGGTGTCAGACATTTGTGACGATGTGTGACGAGAGGGGGGGTGGTTTGAGAAATGTGACGTCACGTCAAAATGCGCAACTTTAAATAAATATAGAATTATTATAACAACACTAATTGTTATAACAACACTCCTACATCATCAGAGTGCAGCGCCACATTAAATACGCACTACAATGATTATAGTTTACAGCGATTTGAAGCATGTTTTATTTTCAAAATGGAAATATGGTTTTGGGGTGGGGGGGGCAGAGTTTTGTGACGTCATATTGGAGGGGGGGTCTGACTTTTTGTGACGAGGGGGGGGGGTCAAAAATCGGCCAAAATCGCGTGACGTCATTTATGAACAGCCCCTTGAAACAACGGTGCAAGTTTTTTTTTGCATTCCCCCCCCCACCCCGACCCGGCCTCTGTCCGCCCAGCAGTATTAATAACATCACAGTTGGTCAATCGGCAGGTCGCGTGTGGTGGGGGTAAAGTTTTGGGTTCTCCCACCTCCTCCAGGGTGTCTGGCGAGCGTGGAAGAGTAGACCAAAGTACTCACGAGAGGATGCTCTCTGGAGCTGCCTCGAGCGGGGGCCCTACCGCCAGCGGTGGCGTGAGTCAGCGATTGCAGGGCTGCGCTTTTGCCGTTTACCTTTAACGTGGCAACGGTGCTTCACGTAGTTTTGTCAACACAGATTAGCCCGGTTGGCTACGTACGGAATGACAGCCACCGTCATCTACTCCAGACACTTTGAAAGTCCAGTGTCGGGCCGGAGCTGTTAAAAGATCCCAATTTATTAATTTGTGAAATGTATTATTTTTTTCTCTTTGCAGCTCTCAATCCAGCTGTTTTACAGCATCTTCATCCCCGCGCTGCAAGCGCTCACGGCGCTGGTGTTCTCGCGGTTCATTCAGGGTGAGCGCGCCGTGTGAACGGCACCGCCGCGGTCGCTCCCTCGCGAGCCCAGAACGTCCCCCTGCCAACACTCTTGCCCGCGAGCTGCGCTACGCGTCACACCGCGTCGGGGTTCGGCCCCGGAAGGGTGACGTGCGTGGCGGAACTGCTTCTGAATTCCCTCCCAACGGGCCTCTTGGCCACGTAGATTAAACGTTATTTTGTCAATCCACGACTGGATGGAGGCTTTACACGAACCTTTACGGTGGTGCATGGGTGTTGTTTTACTGTACTTCACGTTTTGTCAGTGCGGGTTGGTAAAGGGTCGGTGTCGATGTTACTCGCCACGGATGTCAGCCGTAGCTGGCAATCAAACTCAGGTTGCTGTACATCAGTGATGAACAGCTTCATAGCTCGTCGGATTTCTCCAGGATAAAATAAAGGTTCTGATTCAGTGCAGTGCCCCAACCACTGCACCGCCGCTCCATTGCACGCGCACGAGATCGCACACAACGTGTACACTCCTGCTCGGAGCATTCGCCACGTTGACGATCCACATCATTGAGCCGTCACAGCTTGACCGACTACGTCACGTAAACGGACGAACCACACGGTCGTTGGCGACTCGGCTGAGGGCCATCGACCCGCTATGCTGCAGAAATGTGGTTCAATCGCGGGGTGGTCGATGCCCGGTTTTAACGTTCGTGGGTGGCGCTGCGGCTGCGCCGGTGAGCGCGGACGGGATAAACGAACGTGACGCGTGGACGCCGCCGTGCGTCTGCTGCGGTGGGCGAGGCAGGAGGGGCGGAGAGCCTGCACCTCGGGGTGTGGCGCTGGCTCGAATTCATCCTCTCCTCCATCTTCGGAGCGCTCTGGGTCCTGCCGCTCTTCCTGCTCAGCAAGATCGTCAACGCCATCTGGTTCCAGGCGGGTGCCACACCCAGAGACACCGCGCCGGCGCCCGGGGGAGGGAGCGGGCGAGGGAAGAGAGTTCTGCTCTCATTGAAAGAGGGAGAGCGCTGGCTCGCTCGCTCGCCGTTAAACGACGCTGCCGCTGACCCCCTCCGGCGCTCTTTGTCTGCGCAGGACATCGCTGACCTGGCCCACTTGGGCTCGCGGGGAGGGAAGTCTCACTCCTTCCCAAGCCTCAGCAAGTTCGTCGCGGATCTGCTATTCAGCTTGTTGCTGCAGGCACTCTTCCTCATACAGGTGAACTAGACCGTGACGAATAGCCTCACACTGCCAAAGGCGTTTACCCCAAATCTCTGATATATACACTGAACTTTGGGCATTTACGCTGAATGTTGCACATTTACACTGATTTGGAATTTACACTTAATCTTTGGCATTTTCCCCTGAATGTTGGGCAGCAACCCTGAGCCATGGCGCTCTTCAGAAGAAACCTGGCCGCAAATGATTGCTCAACAAAGTGGCTCATCACGTGGAAATTTATAGCAGCCAAACACTCTAAACGCGTGATATTGATTCTAAACGTGGCGGGCGAAGATTCTAAGCGTGGCGGGCGAAACAGCCCAAGCTGTTCTAGGCAGCTGCCTTGTTTATCTCTGCACACTACGGACCATTTATGATTGCACGCTTGCACCCCTGCGTTCATTTCACGGCCAACACCAGTGACGATTATAATCTGAACCTGTCTTGGGCCTCCCCTATGTCGACTTAGCCTCAAATGAGTACCTGGTGCAGTGTGTAATCATCGCCACTGGGGAGAGAAAGAAGACCGGGCGTGGTGCTGGCCACCCACCTACCCACCCCCATATGTACCGTGTCAGCCTTCATAGGTGCTCGCTAACAGCACTTGCCCCAAAAGTCTATTAAGGCTATACGGGGGATCTTTTTCTTGTCTTTGCCTTGTGTGTGTGTGTGCATGCGTACCTTGCGCAGGGCCTCAGTGTAAGCTGGATTCCCATCCCAGGCGTGGGACAGATCGTGGGGACTGTGCACATGTCTCTGCTCTACTCGCTGTACTGCTTCGAGTACAAGTGGTTTAACATGGGTACGCACGCGTCGCGTCCGTCGTGTGTCAGCCGTCCGCCGTGTGGCTGTCCCATAGAAAGTCATCTCCAGAGCGGGGTTCTCCGCCTGGTGGCCTGCGGACCACGTCTGGCACATGAAGGCTAAACTAAAACAAGTGCATGGAGCGAGAGCGCGAGAATCAGCGCGAGAGGAGATGCAAGGCTCCCAACTGGACGGAGGAGTGAGCGATCCCACACGCGCCATGCTAAACTTAACTAAAACTGCTCCTAACAACCAGTGGTGGTGCTCTGTAGAAGCTGACCCATGTGCCATAGGAATGAGGAGTTTCCTCAACTGGTTCAGGGCTGCAAACTATTAAACTAAACAACGTTTTTATTTCAGTAGGTAAGGGCCCACTGAGCTATGTAGCTCTTTTTCAGAAGCGACCTGCCCATCACAAATGACAGCTCAACGAATTTGCTTATCATCACGTGGACATTTACAGCAGCAGCCAAATACTCTTAAGTGCGTGACGTTGATTCTAAATGTGGAGGGAAAAACCGAAGGACCCGGAGAAAAATCCACGCAACCACGGGGTGAGGGAGACATGCGAACTCCAAATATACAGGCGTCGTCAGGGTTGGGATCAAACCCACGACCTGCATACCAGGCGAGGTAGTTAACATCTCGTCACAACATCTCTTGGAGTGGCCTACTGGACCATGGCCTGCCGAGAAAGAGAGAGAGAGATGAGTTAGATGAACACTGAATGAGAGCTAGAAGTGTGCTGTGAGAAGGGGCCATTGCCGCGATCTGTGAATTATATTTGTTTTTAAAGGCAGGGTTGTTGACGATTGTCTTGAGTTTTAGGAATCAAAATATTTATACTGGAGGAATCCAATGAGCTATAAAGCTCTTTTCCCCAGATGTCCAGTAAGGGAACAGGGTAAGAACGTTAGAATATTAAACAATACAAATACGTGATAGTAGTGCAAAGTTCAAGAAAGGTAAACAAATCACCCAAACACATTAATGAAACTAAAACATCCCCATCCTACCAGGCAAAGCCCACTGAGCTACTAACTTCTTTAACAGAAGCGACCTGGCCACAACTGATAGCTCAACAAAGTGATCCATCATGAGGACATTTACAGCACTAAAATCATCTAAATTAGTGGCTTCGTGATGTAAGTCGGCATCAACCCCCTGAGCCCCACCCAGCCACTTCCAGTGGCTCTCAGCCGGGGGTATGCGGACCCCCGGGGGTACGCGAGGTGGTTTATAAACGTGTGAAATTAATCATACACGAGAGTCATTGCTGAATAATCAAGTATAAAACTGCCAAAATAACCACGCTCCTCCCCTTCGTCCCCGTTCTGGTGCCGCGTGCGTCTCTCCCCTACGGCTCCGTCGCGCCGTCGCCAGGAGTGGGCGTGCACCAGCGAGTGGCGCTGGTCGAGGGGAACTGGCCCTACCACCTCGGCTTCGGCCTCCCACTCGCCGTCCTCACCTCCCTGCCACAGTCCTACCTCATCAGGTACGAGGTCCCCTGCTCTGCCGTCTCCCGCCAAAGGCTCGACTTAATGAGACCGCTTCTCTAAAATCTTGATTAGAAGCTTTCGTGACTGCAGGAATCCATACTCTTTGGTTCTTTCGGTAAAGTCACGTAGGTAGAAAATTAAATAAATCACGACGTTTCGGGCGCAACACAAGCGTCCGTCATCAGGTGGGACGCGTATGTTGTGCTCGAAACGTGATTTATTTTATTGTATACCTACGTGACTTTACCGAAAGAACCAAAGAGACCGCTTCTCTAAACTCAAACTAAACTTTTTATTTTAACAAGGTAAGGCCCCACTGAGCTGTGCAGTTTATTTTCAGAAGCGACCTGCCCATCACAAGCGATAGCTCAATGAAGTGGCTATCACGTTTGTTGCAATAAACCGGGTACACGTGTTACTTTCTCAACCTATAAATGAAGGCAGCTGCCACTTTGGTGTAAGGGTGAGCAGCACTTTGGGACTTACAATGCAAAAATCCCGGTGGGGCACTCGAAACAAAGCGTCAAGTTCATGAACTCCTCTCCACCTCTGCGAAGCCATCAGTGTAAACTATAAACTATTTGTATTTTACCAGGTAAGGCCCACTGAGCTATATAGATATTTTTCAGAAGTGACCTGGCTATCAAAAATGATAGAATTTTGTACAGATAGTCCCCGAGTTACGATGGTCCGACTTACGATGTTACGATGGCGATACGACGAAATTGTAAAATATTTTAAATTTCGCGCGACAGGCAAATGCAGCAGCGTACGAGGTACGATGCTGTACGTTGGGACGCTGCCGGGATGTACTGTACGCATCTCCCGCCTTTCTATTAAATTGCAGTTCATATAGGTAGGCTAAGAATTGATCTTGTTTTTTTGCTTTACATTTTACTGTGCAATACAGTATTGTAATTAATAAATACATACAGTATATAGTTTATACAGTACGGTACTGTAAATTGCTCTGTTTTGATAAATTATCACCATTCTTTAAGACTCCTGGGTAGGCGAGGCCATCTTCGACTTACGATATTTTTGACTTACGATGGGGTCGTCGTAACGCATCTAAATCGTAAGTAGAAGACTGCCTGTATTGGTTTTCTGCTTTGTTGACTTCCAGTATGAATACAGATTCACTTGAAGGTTCTTCAACTTCGTTTCACTCGACATAAGCTGGCCATGAGTCTTTTCATCTCTTCAACTGTACAATCTGTCACGCCTATGGTGCACCTGCTGGCAGTTAAACAATATCTAATTGCCTGATTATATAACCGCGGTACCATCCCGTTTCCCCAAACGAATTGTCATGTTTTGTTTTACGTGACAAACCTTACTGGCTGCGTTGGGTGGTGGCGGGTTTGACGACACATTTACGCGATCTAACCCAAAAAAACTCTAATGGATACTATCGGTGGCGAAAGCCTGACGCTATTATTACCATGGTTTTTTATATACCGGGCGAGATATTGTGGCGTCGCCACGTTTCCACAACCATTCTCACCGCTGCACGCGCTGTTGGGGGGCGCGCTGGGAGAAGGGGGGCTGACAAGGATGGTCGCGGAGTGACAACGAGAGAAGTTGGGTTACCACCTCGGACGCACAAGACAACTGGGACATCTCTTCGGATGAACGATAACTCGCAGTGCAGTGGAGCGCCTGTTAATGAAAAAATCGCTTTAAGACAGGCCTCCACAGAGCCCAATGTGTTCACTTACCGACCATTTCCCTGTTAACGACGGGCTGTTGTAGGTGCAGTAAATATGATTAAATGCATTGATTAACCATGTTTATTTGAATATGTGTTTATAATGTTGTTAGTATATTTTATGTATTAATATCCATTAGAATATTATATATAAATTACTTTTTTTGGAATAATAGAAATAAAACATAATAAATTAAAATAATATTTTATTATGTTTTATTTTTATTATTTTATTACTTCCCTTCTACGTGACTTTACCGAAAGAACCAAGAAGATGAATCCCTGCAGTCACGAAAGCTTTAAATCGAAATTTACTTTTTTTGGGGTGAAGAGTAACTTTTGAAGCGATTGGAATGAATTAAGCCTTTAACGTGTATTTCCTATACTCGCTTAACGACCAAATCACTTACCGACCGGTTTCGCGGAACCAATTACCGTCGTTAAGAGGGGTTCTACTGTACTGGAAGAATGGAAATCTACATGGGGGGAACGATGTTGTCTTGAGTTGAGTACCATTATGCAACCGACAAAAATCGGGAATTTTAACGTCCCGGAGAAGAGCGTAGAGTTTTTGCGGGACGGCAGCTGCCTCAGCAAGAGATCCTGCGAAAAAACCAGGACGAGGTGGCAACCATCGGCAGATGGGGAGTTGGGAGTCTTCAGCTCGGACTTGGGAGAGCACGAGTGAAACTTGCGGGTGACCACGAGAAGCGAATTAATACGCGGCTCACATCAGCAGCGAGTGATATCTCACCCAGTTCTGGTCATCCCCTAGGTCGACTCTGCCTGAAAATGATTACCCGGCGCGGGCGTATTTACATCAGCACTGGAGAGACAAATGTGGCCCGGACATTATTCCTGGCCACATCACCTCCACGCACACCGTGCCGGCCTTAATGGCTGCACGCTTACACCACTTGCTCCAACACTGTGTGAAAGGTTGCGTGGGGGGGGGGTCTCTTTGTCTTTGTGCGTGCGTGCAGTGGGTGTGTGTTTTCAATCCTCTTTCCACTTTTCATCATCAGCGGCAATGAAGCAAAGCCACCGCAGCAGCCCTTGTGAGTATGCGCAGCCCCTCGCACGCACGTACGTATTTAAATGGGCGCACGCGCCGCTCCCATTTCCATGGTGTGCCCGCCTTCACCAACCCAAACTTATCAGAGCGATGAAGTACGGTCGATAAGCCCCCCGTGCGACTCGTTACGGCGTGCGGAGACCCCCGCATTCAGCAGTGGATTGACAAGACGAGGGCTGTGTACGTTCATCAGTATTGGCGGAGCTGCAACGATTCGCTGCCCAGGCAGGTGGTGGCGTGCGTCCGAATCATGGTCGCGATTTGAGTAAAGAGTCGATTATTATTTGTTTACGTTGCGCGTGAACGCACCGGTCAATCGGAGCTGCGTGGGTCAAGTTCGTCCGTGGCACTCGACACGCGTGAATCTCCTCCCTTGCGGCTTAAGCCTCGAGGAGATGTTGACAATTCGGGCACTTGCCTGACGATGCTGGTTGTAACCACCAGCGAAACGTCCGTTACCAAGTTGTTGAATGCCTGTCCAGATCGCTGTCCCACACAACGGTGTGCTAAAAACACGGACACGATTATTCATGTGACAGCTTTATTTATTCGGCTGTGTCGGGCGGTGGAGGGGTGTACGACACAACTTTGGCAGTTTACTTGCGTGGCAATCTGACCAAAAATCGATTATGAATTAAGAATTTATATGAATCGATGAATCGTGACAATACGAACTTGTCTTAAGGAGATGCGTGTTGTGTTCAGGTTTGGTGACAACTGATCACAGAAGTGGTGCTGCTCTTATCTGTGGAAACAAGCCGCTAAGTGGATATATAGCTGAGAAATGTGCAGAAATATAACTTACTGCTGTGTATATAAAGTGAGCATTAAATGTTGACGAAACAATGTTTGCAGTCATGGCAAACAATGTTCGTCATAGAACTTGCAGTTGTATGGATGTATTTTGAACTTCTTCTACACTGTACGTAGCCAACCGTGCTCATCGGAGGAGAACTGGAGTTTGCAGCAGCGTTGATTACTTGACGATCGTAGAACTGGACACAGAAGACAATTAGCATGGTTGGCTACTTACGGTGCGGAAGTAGTTCAACATAGTACTGCCCATGGACTCTCCGCCTCCAATCACTGCACCTGAATGAATTAAATGATGCCGTCACCCTGCTGCTACTCTATTTAAGACCGGGAGCAAGAGGAGAGCCTCACCATTCTGGCAAATTGCCTGATGAAGCTGGATGTAATTACCAGCGAAACGTCGTACTCAAATTGTAAATTATGTTGATTCACTCTTCAACACACCGGTGGGCTAAAGTAGTGAATTATTGGTCCTTTGAAAACGTGACACATTTTTTACTGTTTGGCCGTGTCGTGTGGTGGAGGGTTATGACACATCTATAAATAACGCGATCTAACCCAAAAAAACCTTTATTATGAATAATATTGGTCGCGAAAGCCTGCTACGTGTTAAACTGACTCAACACTGCACCTCCGATGAGCACGCTTGGACAGAGAATCGGCGGTGACGCAGCCCAGCCGTGTGGCGTGTTCGCCGCTTTGCTGCGGAGGTTCACGGTTCAGATCGAGCAGCTGCCCTGTGGTTATGCCTGCGGTTTGTAATAACCGTGAAAATAACACGTGCGGTCTGCTCTCATGTATGTTCTATGTATGCTGAACTTCTTTCGCACAGTGTTGTAGACAATCCGTGCTCATCGGAGGTGCAGTGTTGAGTCTATGGGCAGTGTTGAGTATTTGGGCAATGTGAGTCTCTGGAGAGGTTGTATGTTGAACTTCTTTAGCACCGTACCTAGCCAAGCGTGTTCTTCGGAGGTGCTTCACGGTGAACGGTAAAAGATGCCGGTGACGCCATTCACCAGAGTTGGCTGTCGCGGTCCAACATTGGAAAACTTTACGACCGCAAATTTCTCGTTTGAAATTATGCACAAGCGGTCACTGACCGGCCTACTTCGAAAAACTTGGCAGGACCCTGCTGAAAACCAGTCATGAGACTCGGTGAGGCTTTCACGGGTGAACGAGCGCAACAATAACACTATGTAACACCATCTTTGTTCCTGGGTACTAGGTGTTATTTTTTTATTGCTTATGTCTAAAAAGTATCGAACATGGCTATTATTCCCCACAAACTTTACTTTTGTGACCAGGACTTTGTGAACAAAAGACACAAATGCACACGTTTTCTCATTGAAAAGAGGTAAATTTCAAAATATCACTGACCTGATCATTGTTTTTTTACCCTTTTATCTGGCAACAAAACTGACACCTTTTTTACAAGGAGTCATGTTTGCATAGATCACAATACCTGCAGTCATAATGTTTTTTGTTTGCATTAGGACTGCAGGTATTGTGGTCTATGCAAACATGACTCCTTGTAAAAAAAGGTGTCAGTTTTGTTGCCAGATAAAAGGGTAAAAAACAATTATCATATTTTTTACTGGCAAATGAGGTTCCAATGGTATCACTGACCTGTTCACAAAAGCAACATTTGTGGGGAATAATAGCCATTTTCTGTACTTTTGAGGCATAAGCAATTAGGAAATAACACTTACTACCCAGGAACCAAAAAATATATAATAATTTAAAAAAATAATACATCAAACTCCACACTTCAATAGCAGCAGGGGGGGGAGGGAATGACAGTGATGATGATTCTCTTAGTCTCTCTGATCCTACCCAACCCAGCAGGTTAACGCTCGTCAATTAATTATCATAGCTAGGTGGGTGGTGGCTATGCACGTGGCAGCCTGCAATACAGAGCTGTGGGGACAGCACCAAGGGTTGGTGGTTCACACAAACCCGTGGGCATCTAGGAGGCGCTATACTCCTGGCTCGCCAGGAGATGGCGGCCCGCAAATTGATTAATCGCCATCCATTTCCATTTGTACGGGGATTGAGCGTTGCCCCGTCGCACAGCGTTAATTGGCTGAAAGCATCTTAACAAAAAAAAAACAATGCAGGACCCTCTTCAAAAAGAGTCTTAATGACCCACTGTGGTTTTACTTGCACAAAATAAGTAATTATAATCATCGATGCCAGTCGTATGTTGTGTAATAACCGCGTAATCTGCATGCAGTGAGAGTAACAACATTGGTGAAATGCATCACTTGATGTTGCCTTCATATGCGTGTGTGTGGCTTTGTGTGCGTGTGTGTCTTTGTGCGTGTGTGCCTGTGTGTGTGCGTGTGTGCCTGTGTGTGTGCGTGTGTGTGTCTTTGTGCGTGTGTGTGCCTGTATGTGCGTGTGTGTGCGCATGCTTTGGCAGTGAGTTCCCATTAAGGCTGTTCTCCATGGCCGTCTCGCTGAGCAACCAGTTGTTCCACACGACGTTACATCCCCGCAACCAGCCGGTGCAGCAGGGAGCGCGCTAGAGGCATCGCGCTGAACGCACCGCACTGAAGGGATAGCACGCAACGCCATGCAGCCTGGGCTGGGGGCGTCTGCAGACACGTCGACACACAGGGTTACGCACAGAGCGGGTTATGTACAAATACACATGGACACACAGAGGGTTACACACAGCCCAGGATACATACAGTAACATATAGACACACACAGGGTTACATACAGACCAGGATATGTACAGATACATATACACACAGGGTTCCACATGGGTTGGGAGACACACACCAGCACACACAAGCTGGTATGTGTACGCATATGCACAGGCTGATATATGTACCAGTACACACAAGTTGGTATTTGTACAGCACGCAGGCTGGGTATACGTACAGACTCCAGAAAAGTAACGATTCGTGCTCGGCAATTCAATGAGCTGTCAGGATTCTGGGTCATGAGTCGATTCAAGAATCGGTGCTTGCTCGTGTGGTTCATGTTGTCTCGTATGTTGTGTCCCGTTTGTTCCCTTCGGATGAAGTGACGTTCGCATGTGATTTATTTAAATTTACAGAAAGTGTAAATAATCGATCCTTTAGGCACACCTCCTTGATGCGTGTGTTGTGAGCGTAATTAGGCACTTCACGAGGCATTGATTAAAATGTATTCTTGCACGCAACGGTGCATACGTTTGTTGAACTTCTTTCGCACCGCACGTAGCCAACCGTGCCCATTGGAGGTGCGGGGGAAGGACAACAAACTAAACATGAAAAGCACTTGGAAAGAATTTAGTTTTCAATTCAGGTACACACAATTCATCATGCGTGTAAGAATGTATGCATTATGCTGTATGCTAATTACATGCAAATTATCTGTCGTGGAGCCAAATAAAACTACAACTGAGACAATGATACAAATGGGGCGGTAAAAACAAAACAAACAAACATCGTCATCCTTGACTCGAACCGTCACCGCACGTGTGATAACTTTGGAATTACAGTACCCTAATTTACAGTACCCTAATTTACAGTACCCTAATAGGGTCAGTGGTCAAATGCCCCAAGTGTAAGATCCAATTTTAATCAACAAATTATTACCCGTGTGATAAACACACGTACACACATACATACGCACACAGCGCGGGAGGGTTGTGCTACCCCCCCCACCCCCCTTCTGGATTGCTGTGTCCCATCTTAAGCGCACACTGCCACTGGCAAACATTCGAACAAACCAATATCCCACACGTCCGTGAAGCACAGTGCATGGAGCTCCGAGCTGGATTAGAGGCAGGTCCTCGCCAGCCCAGTTTTAGCCCGCTTGAGCTCAACGCCAGTCCAGTGCAGCGCCAAGCGAAGACGCAACCCAAAGGATGAGCAGCTTTAGCCTTGTGAGTGCGAATCTCGGGCTCTGAGTCCCGGGCTGTCCGACGCGAGTTTTAAGATTTCTGAACGAGAACGAAATCGCTTGTAAATCGCTTGCTGATGCTCCATCGTGGGGGGTGGGGGGTGAGGAGGGGAGTGAAATCGTAGTGGCATCACTCGCGTCTGTATTGTACTGCCGAGTAGTAATTTTTGCCTCCCCCCCCCCCCATGTACATGTTGCTTCAAACAAGTGTCCAGACAGCCCGAGAAAGCGCAGCCTCAGCTGCGAGATGAGACACGCTTTAATTTGAGGGTAATTTACACTTCGGCGAGATTGGTTGCTGATGCAATTCCCTCTTGTTACGCCTGGAAGCCTGTTAAACGCGTTAAGCGCCGTGTGTGTTTTGGGTTGTGTCTGGCCTACGGAAATTTAAACTTGTCGTAAAGTCCATATCTTACGTAGTTTTTTTCATGCGGTTTTATTCTTAGAATTTTGAGACGTGTAAATGGCGTGCCATTTAAAAATCTGACGAGCTTTTTACGGGGCTCCGGTAATTATTAACGCGCGACTCGGAATCAGAAATCACGCGTTCAGTTCCCAGCCGAGGGTCGATAAACTTTGTAACACTTTGTGGAAAGTCAGCAGTGATTGGCCTCATGCAGGGGTCGGCAACCTGCATCTCCGGAGCCGCATGCGGTGGCTCTGTATAGGACTGCTTCGTGACTCCCGACACTATAATTGAAAAAAAAACTTGTATTACGAATTTTTTAAAAACCCTGCTAATTATTTTCCATAAACGGCGAATGTCTAAAAGCCCAACGGTGATGTGTAATGCGGCATTACGAATAATTGCACGTGTGCTGTTCTCAAAATAGCGATAACATATACATATGGCTTGACGATATTCATTAAGCACCGTTGAGTAGTCAACGAAGTATTTAGTTTTCTATCGAGTTCGAAGAAAATTACTTGCTCTTGTTATTTTTCGTTGCCAACCCCTGGCCTAAGGGAGAAACGGACCCACCATGGGAATGCGGACACCCACCATACTGCCTCCAGTATTCTAAAGGAAGTAGGGACACAAAAAACACCGACGCAGTTGTCAGCTTGTGCCGCGTGTTGTTCAACACGATGTCCGACGTTTCCGATCCGCGTGTCGGGAGCTTGCTCAGCGACTCGCTTTAACTCCTGAAACGTCGAACACAAAGTCCATTGGAGGGCTCTGCAGCGCAACCATGAACCCCGACACAGCGGCACAACCCAACGGCTCGTGCAGATATACTTAGCTCGGCTGTGTGTCCGGGCTGTCTAACATGATTATGAAGCTTTGGTCAGTAGCTGAAGACTTTAAAAGCATGACCTGGTGCTCTACCGTAGTGCAGCAGTGACACAACCTTGTTGATGAGTTCACCAGAGGCACGACAGCGATTCATTAAGCCTCAGCTGAAGCAGCCGTGTGGCCTTCAAACTTGCATGTCGATCTTTGCGTTGCTGTATGAGATTGGGGGATGTGATGGCGTCACAAGTGATTCGTGTCGGACAGTCGCCGGGGACACACAGCCCAAGTGACCGCACGCGGGGGCCATCACGGTGCGCCTCTTCCAGCTGTCCCATGCAAGCTTCAAACCTGCCTGTGACAGTCTGGGACACGCAGCCCTGGTGTGGAGCTTCAAGAGTATTTTTTCTTCTGTGTGTATGTTTAAAATACTTGACATATGTCCACTTATATCAGGGTGGGGAACCCTTGACCTGTGGGCCAAATACGGATCCATGCCCCTAAGGCGCACGGCCACGTTAGGCCTCCCACTTAGAAACGGCTTGCAAGCAATATGTTTCACTGCAAGCATCCTGGCTGCACTTATCAGGTACTGGAAGGGGGGGGGGACTCTTTTCAACTGAGCGCTCCGACACTTGGGCTTCTTCGAAGGACAGAAGTCACTAAAGTGTGTGCATTAATGTGTGTGCCCCCCTTAAAGGTGCACCTGGCCTGGCACAGGCGCCGTGGCGACATCACCGTCAATTAGTGGCGAATGGCGGGTATCGGTATTGGCCCACAAAAGGTATTTGAAACTTCCATTCCGGCCCTCGGTAAGGAAAAGGTTTCCCACCCTGGTTAATATTAGAGATTGTGCTGGCCAAAGGTGGCTCTGGCTCTGGACTGGCCTGTCAACTCCTGGACAAAGCGACGAGACTGATTCTGCTCAGCCTCCCATGCTGGCAGTCATGCCAGCACGGGACACTGATGATGCCCATACATTGCACGAAGCCAATCGAGAACACGACACATTGCCCATCGCGCGCTGTGGCCGCCACGCACGAATTGCATTCGCAAGGATTCCCCGACACAAATCTACGTCATCGCTCTAGGGTTAGTAAATGAGTACCTTGTGGGAAGCCAGTGGTGGTGTGATGTAGAAACTGACCCATGCGCCATAGGAATGTGGAGTTTCCACCACTGGCTCAGGGCTGCAACCATTTTATTTTACTAGGTAAGGCCCACTGACCTATGTAGCTCTTTTTGCAGAAGCAACCTGGCCACAAATGATAGTTGAACGACGTGGCTTATCACGTGGACATTTATAGCAGCCAAATACTCTAAAACGCATGTTTCTAAATGTGGAGGGAAAACCGGAAGACCCGGAGAAAAATCCACGTAACTACGGAGAAAACACGCAAACTCCAAATATACAGCAGCAGCAGCAGGCGTCAGGGCTGGGATGGAACCCACAACCTCCTGTACACCAGGCGAGGTAGTTAACATCTCGCCACCAGAGATGAGCACCGTGCCAGGCCGGATTGCGGTGGGAGAAAACGTTTACAATCTCTAATTTGCCACGAAAAAACCCATCATCCCTGGAGGTGCACATTGAGGTGGTCACGTCTTTATTTTGGGCGCACGTGCACAAATGTCTGCGAAAGTGGAAGCTTTCACGCCATGGCGAGCCCGGAATACTGTTGTTCGTTGTTATTACATGTTAATAAAGAATTTCAAACTAACGTAAACGTGTGTGCTCCAGTTGCCCGGTCGCGTGTATTTGCGCAGTGTACGGAACAAGCGAGTTTACCCTGCGTCTGTGTGAATGTGCAGTGGTGGAGCGGTTCGCGCTACGCTGCACTACGAACACGGCGACCCGAGTTCGATTCCCGCCCACGGCCAACACCAGTGACGATTATCTGAACAGGTTTTGGGCCTCCCCTAGGTCGACTCAGCCTCAAATGAGTACCTGATGCGGCGTGTAAAACATAGCCACTGGGGAGACAAAGGCAACAGGGCATGGTGCTGGCCACCCACCCCCTCGTTAACAGCACTTGCCCCAACAGTCTGTTCAGGCTACACGGGAGGGTCTTTACCTTTGGTACGGCAGTGGTGCAGAGAATGCAAAGAGGCACGGATAGGATGCGTGTGTATTGCCTGTGGCTCCACCAACAATATTCGAATTTCTCTTGGCTGTTACTTTCGTCGTCTTCACAGTAGAAGCGTCTCCTAAAATGATGATGGCCCTTTAAGGCAAACACGCCATGAGCAGCCGGTGCCAACAATTGCCCGAGCTTTGCGATCCTCTACGTGTATATTAATGTGTTAGCCAATCAATAAATGCTCGCATGTGGGAGGAAAGCGAAACACCCATAGAGGTGAGAAAAAAAAACAAGTGTGGTAAAGAGCAACAGTCTACCCCATCGAGATGGAAGAGATGGAAGTCAAACACCGCTGTTCTGCTGGCGAGCCCACGGTTAAATTTCCCAACATTGACGTGACCCACCAACCCTCAGCTCCAACAGTGCGAGGTCACGGGCACGCGTCCATCGCCGCCACTTCCTGGCTAACAAAAGATCAACTCATGCGCCAGGATGGGATGGCGTTTGTGTTCAGACTCCACTGTGTGAACATCGTCACAAGTATGAAAACATCAGAATACGTTTACCCTTTGCGGCAATAAAACAGCTGTTAAGGTGTTCAAACAACAAATACATACCGTTTGGAAGGAATGAAGTCTGTATTACCACACATACTTGTGGCAAAACATACAAACATGCTCTAAATGTACGCGTTGTCTTTGAAAACTGATTGGCCTACACCAGAGACAGCCTTGTTGTTTATGGCCAAGTCTCACCACCAGTGTTAGTTAGACCAGAGGACAACGCCAAAATGCGAACAGTACAAAGATAATGCCACTATCAGAGCATTCATAGCTCGGGCTGAGCAGCTGCAATGATACTGGCAAGACAAAGGTCCCGTTTTATATCATCACAACTGTCTGGACCACAGGGCGGGTTCTGCAGGATTGAAAGGACCCCCCTTCCTTAACGAAGGGGAAACTGCACTGGTTCTAACAACTAACGGGATGGCCCATCGACATTTGCATGAGCCCAAATTGTGGGTTCAGACCGGGGCAGTCTTGCACAGAAGCCACATTCTCTGTCCGTTTGCGACTTCAGAGGTGTTAGTGAATGTCAACGGGACCTACATCTCTGCTTTATCGAGCTGGTCATGGCCTGTGATGCCAACAGTAGGCCAGGGCTCCGCTGCGTTGTTTCGTTCGTACTTGTGCTGTTGGGGTCACTAAAAAGGGCCTTCACGATGGTGGTGGGCAGGCCCGGGGTAAAGATGCACGACCTTGCAGTTCGGGGCACATTCCCTGTTCGCCCTGGAGGTGCGACAGCGACCTCCTTTGGACTAATTGAGCAACATTCGACCACGATACACGAAGCATTCTGTCCATGGCCGTACAGGAGGAACGTCCATCCACAGCAACAACATCGGATGGTGGACTTCCACACAATTTGGTAATCCCACATGTCAACTACTTGTCAGTGCCCTACCTTATTACAGACCAATTCACACCTTATTGATCACCCCATAAACAAATCTCAACTTTCATCCCACAATTCCCATGACAAGGGAGACACACAAATAGAAGATTGATTGTATTGCCCGTATTGAAACGGCTCTACGCCACGTGGACCTGACATCTCAATGTCCCTGCACAAGAACACGGGGGGGGGGGTCATCAGACCGTGTTGCAGGTGTTGGTGACAACTCGTCGTGCTCGCTGGTGTCTCTCTGTCTCTCCATCACTTGTGATCAGGGTGCCAACACTCCGGCAGAAGTGCGCAGTCACGAAGTGTTTTCTGGAGTCGTCGAATCGTCGAGAAGGTTCGGTGGAGGATGGGAGGGGGCGGAGGACTGAGGATGATGGGGGAGGAGGATGGGCATGGGGGAAGAGGAGGATGATGGGGGAAGAGGAGGATGATGGGGGAGGAGGATGATGGGGGAGGAGGAGGATGATGGGGGAGGAGGAGGATGGGCATGGGGGAGGAGGAGGATGATGGGGGAGGAGGGGAGGAGGATGAGGATCTGGCCACGTGGCACGAGTCGTCGTCGTCGTCGCTGCAGCCGCGTGAGGTTCTCTGCAGTCCCCACTGCTGCTGCTGCCGCCTTGTGAGAGGCTTCGAGGCCTCGCGAAGTTTTAACTTCACGGGCGTCAGATTTGTCGTCTTATTGTTCGTATTTAGCCAGGAGCGGGGCTTTATTTAGTTCGCTCCCACCCCCAACGTGTTTGTAGTCGCCACGAGGTCAACCCAGGTGAGAGACCGCCACTCGACGTTCGCTGTGAAGGGTTTTGTATGGTGGTTCAAGGTCGGGGTGGGGGGGGTGAGAGTGGAGCCGGTCACGGTTGCTGTGGAATTTCCACGTTCGCATGGCAGGGCCACTCGAGCAGAAGCTCCACCAGACGTCCACCAAGGATGCCCCCCCCCCCCGTGTCGCCTGTTAACAGACTGTGGGGGGCAGGTTGCTGTGGCACACGAGGGGGGGGGGGGGGCAGCAACCACGCCCGGCCGTCTTTGTCTCCCCCAGTGGCGATGTTTTGCGAGACATCGCGCCGGGTACTCGTTTGAGGCCGAGTCGACTTAGGGGGAGGCCCGGGATCGGTTCAGGTGATCGTCGACGGTGTTGGTGGCCGTGAGCTGGAATCGCTGCACCACCACTCCATCATCATCACCACCACCGTCTTCATCATCATCATCACCACCATCTTCATCATCCCCATCACCACCACCATCATCATCATCACCACCACCAACATCATCACCACCACCAACATCATCCCCATCATCATCCCCATCATCATCACCACCATCATCATCCCCATCACCACCATCATCATCCCCATCACCACCACCATCACCGCCACCATTGTCATCACCATCATCGTCACCACCACCACCATCACCGCCGCCATTGTCACCACCATCACCATCGTCACCACCATCACCACCGCCATTGTCATCCCCATCATCACCACCACCATCGTCACCACCATTGTCACGCCCGCGTTTGTAAAAAGAGAGAGAAGATTGCGCGCCCCATACGACGACGTCAGTGTTTATTCTGGGGTTGTGTTTGTCTTCTTCTCCAGACCAACTATGAAACAGGGAGCTGTTTATTCTCTCTATAAACAGCTGCCTGGGGACCCAAAACACCACGCGTCGAAGGGTGCGAGACGCGACAACAACAACAAGAAGCGACGATTCGTGTTTGTATCCGAACCGAGTCGAAGTTGTTTTGCTTTTGTACCAGGGACGAGCGAGGAGAGAGCCAGGGGTGATGGTGGTGGTGGTGATGGTGATGATGGTGGTGGTGGTGGTGGTGGTGGTGGTGGTGATGGTGGTGGTGGTGATGATGGTGGTGGTGGTGATGGTGGTGGTGGTGATGGTGATGATGGTGGTGGTGGTGGTGATGGTTGGTGGTGGTGGTGGTGTGATGGTGGTGGATGGTGATGATGGTGGTGGTGGTGATGGTGGTGGTGGTGGTGATGGTGGTGGTGGTGGTGATGATGGTGGTGGTGATGATGATGATGGTGGGTGGTGGGTCATGGTGGTGGTGATGGTGGTGGTGGTGATGGTGGTGGTGATGGTGATGTGGTGGTGATGGTGGTGGTGGTGATGGTGGTGGTGGTCATGGTGGTGGTCATGGTGGTGGTGATGATGATGATGATGGTGGTGTGTGGTGGTGATGGTGGTGGTGATGGTGGAGGGATGTTTGGCTCTGGGATTGAACCCATCCACGCGTGTGTAGAGTGGCGGCGGCGGCGGCGAAGCTTCAAGCGGTTGGCCTTGAGTTGGGAATTCGCGTGGACGTCCTGGTCCCCGGCCACGTGAATGTGGAATGCCCATGGAGGGTGGGTGGGGTGGCAGGTGAAGGGTGGAGCCCCTCGTGTCTGGCAGCAGCAGCCTCAAAACACTCCACGTGGCCTTCACAGCCGGCGACGTTTCGGGCAGTGACCCTCCATAGGCAACAGAGAGAGTGGGGGAACTTGCAATTGTTTGTCGCTGTTGAGTAGCACACAAACCCATCGATAATCAAAATGTATTCAGAAATAAACTCGTTCACTAACATAGAAGATGATGCGATGTTCCAGAAACATCTTATAATTTATGAAATGTGTGTAGTACAGTAAACGCATGTCTGAAACGTTTGGTTTTCAAAGGTAACTTCTATAGGCCTGTTTAACACTAAAGTGTCTGTTTAACACTTAAATGTGTCTATTTAATGCTAAAATGTGTCTATTTAACACGTGAATGTCTATTTAACACTTAAATGTGTCTATTTAATGCTAAAATGTGTCTATTTAACACGTGAATGTGTATTTAACTCTAAAATGTGTCTATTTAACTCTAAAATGTGTCTATTTAACTCTAAAATGTCTATTTAACACTAAAATGTGTCTATTTAACGCTAAAATGTGTCTATTTAACACTAAAATGTCTATTTGACACTAAAATGTCTATTTAACACTAAAATGTGTCTTTAATACTAAAATGTGTCTATTTAACACTAAAATGTGTATATTTAATACTAAAATGTGTCTATTTAACACTAAAATGTGTCTATTTAATACTAAAATGTGTATTTAATACGTGAATGTGTCTCTTTAACACTAAAATGTGTCTATTTAACACTTACATGTGTCTATTTAACACTTAAATGTGTCTAT